TTTTTAATTTCTAAAATGCATTTTTTAATATTTTCAAACTTTCTCTTGACTTTTGTTTTATTAAACAAAGACATAAAAGGCAAAAATTTACTAATCAAGCAGTTAATAATGATTAGTGGAAAAAATCACATAATAAAGAAATCAGCAGAAATACCAACAAGAAAATTGCCAACAATAATTTTCTTTCCCGCGCTGTTAGTCTCTCAATTATAGCAATCTTAGAGTTCAGGCTTTGCAACAATTTAGGAATTAGAGCAGTAGATCTTCTACACATTTTCGGATCATGCCATTCAAAATAATTGCAACCTTTTCCTCCGTCACCCTTCACAACCAACATCATAAAGCTTTAGCGCAAAGGTCAAATTCATCAACCAAAATTAAAAACAAAGAACCATTCCTTCTTGATGGCACAAGTGGAATTTCTTCTCCTAGAATTGTTGTCTATCCAGGATGTAACCATTATTGCTCGCTGCTTGCAGTCACAATTTTTCATTGGTTCCATGAGGACCAAAATTGAGAATAGAAGAACAAAGTTCTGCCTAATTCTTGCAAATTTATGCCAAAATCAGCAATTTTTGTTCTCAGATTAGAAATTGATTGAGGCTCCTACGGTATGTTCTTGAGTTGGACAAGAGAACATGAGGAAAGAAAGAAATAGAGGACATCGATACCCCTATTTATTTTGTGATTTTTTCCACTAATCATTACTGACTGCTTGATTAGCGAATTTTAGCCTTTTATGTCTTTGTTTAATAAAAAAAGACAAGAAAAGCTGAAAATATTTAAAAAATGTGTTTCAAAAATTAAAAAGTTGAAAAAAGAGGTTTTAAGTGCCGACACATGGTCTCACATGACTTGGTTCTAACTAAAATTGAAGAAATTTCATCAATTGTCCACTTTCGCGCAAAATTGAATAGATTGGGGACCAAAATTGAATTGTACAATTGATTTGGGACTAGTTCTGCACATGGTCTATAGATTAGGTACCAAAATTACAATTCTCCCTTTTTTAAATTCCCCCTTAAATTGTAGTTAGGGCCCCAAAATGTAATAGTTAGGTCTTTATATGCGTTTATTTTCTTGTGTGCTTGCATGCTTGGGTGCTTATGTATTTATTCGATTTCTCTAGGGCGTTTGCATCTAAATATTATGCTTATGTGTTATGTACTCTATGTGCTTTATGTGTTTATTTACTTTGACTATGTTTTATAAGATTTATTTATTTATAATAAATGCATGATGTCACCACACTAGTCTAATATTAGTTGTGGTCTCTCTCCCCGATTTCTCAATGCTAGTAAGAATTTATAGGCATGAGTTAATCCAGTGCTAAACCCTTAGGACCGCCTAGGCGCTAGAATCACGTTTTTCCATGACATTTATTGCATTTTATGCATGTTTTCATTTTAGGATCTTTTTTTCTCATATTGCATGATATTTCCCCTCCTATTATTCCCTTACCATCTATATGTTTGGACCATATCATTTAGAATTGCATTTTATTTTAAGAAATTAGAAATAGGCTAGTCCATTTGCTTGAAGAGTTACCCTTCAAATATGGAAAATGAACGAGTATGCCTTCTTAGCCTTAGCACGCTCCTATTCCCCGCTGTAAAAGAAAAATTGAATCACAAATCTTAGTCTCCCATACCCATTCTATTGCAATCCTCTCTTTTAAGTCATGTATATTCATATATATTATAGTTTCCTCTTTTTGAATCTCATCTTCAGCATATTTGTGACTTCTTCGAAGGATCATTTTTTGGGTCTCACAATTAATATGATTGGCACTAATTAGACTTTGAAGAGACATCTCGACCCTCTCGATCCCCCTAGGTTTAAGAATGCATCCATATATAAGTATCCAAATGTGATAAGTTTTATAAGTTAGACTAGGAAAATTTTCGACTAAATCTCGTAACTAGTTTTGATTAAATTGAAAAGTGCTTTAGGACCTATCAAATCTTCGCCTTCCTGTTCTTCAACCGTGACTCCCGAACTCTTTTCTATTGTTTTTAAAGACCTGGAGTCATCTAAAAAGGGTTTTATTTATTATTTATCTTGAGTGACTTGGTACATTTAAACTCAATACCAAATAACAAATTTTTCTTTATTTATTTTCTAAAATCAAAAATTTCATTTTTTTAACACATAAAATTTATTTTCAAAAAATGGGGTGCGACATCCCCAAGACTCTGAACTCTAGAAGAAACGAATTTTTTCTAGTTTCTGTGGATTCGACCATGTTCACCTTATATGCAAAAATTGTATTTTTTTTAGTAGGTATTTATTATTGCACAGGCTCAGTACCTATCAATTTTTAGCGCCATTGCCGGGGACTGGTACCTGATTAAATTGTTTCTTTTTAAGTTCATCTTATTTTTATTTTTATTTTCCTCTTATTATTATTATCATCATCATTATTGTTATTATTATTATTATTATTATTATTTTACTAGTTTATGGCTGCTAATATTCAATATTTTGGTGATAAACTGGATTTTATTTCTAGAAGGGGTAATGAGGCTCGTATTTTTTCTAATAATCAATATTTAGATGCACTAACGTTTCATGTAGAGAAAGTGGCTGTTGCAACCTGTGGGATCTGTTATGTCTTGCATTATTTAACAGACATGTGCCCCGAATTTCAAGATGACCTGAGTGCCCCAATCAATACTTGTGGAGATTTTTCACCCCTATCTCAAGTATGGTGTGACCCTTATTCAAACGGACATGATCAAGGATGGTGGGATAACTTTAACTTTAATTATGCAATAGAGCCAATGGATTTTCAACAGTAAGAGTATCAAGAACCATCATCCATGTCAGATATGTCTTTTAATTTGAAGAAATGATTAAATCACTAAATGTTTTTAGTAATAAGAGACAAAGTATAGAGCAAAACATGAAAATTAACTCATGAACCAAAATCATATAAACATTAATTAAATTCAATGAATAAACATTAACCCTATACAAATTAACACAAAAATTCTAGGAGATAAATTTAGAATAAGAACAACTGATAAATTAATAATTATAAAAGAAATATCTAAATTACAAATCGAAAATAATGTATGTGTCTAAATAATTAATGATTATGAACCACAATACAATAAATTGTAAAAGGAAAAAAAAAATTAGACTTGCCTTGGAGGAAATATCAATGCTTGCTTGTTCCTTTGTAAGTTAGTTTTTGACTTGTTTGATTAGACTGTTCGTTCGGGTGTTGGTTTTTGGCACGTATAAGTATAATTCTAAACATGATTAAATTTCCTTTTATTTATCAATTATCTGTTTCCTTACCTTAACTAATGTAAGGATATACTAAATACATTAAAATTATAATCATGAAATTTAATATATATATATATATATATATATATATAACACACATATACATACATATATATATATATATATGATTAATCTTTCTTACATACAGTATATACACTCTCAATATTAGATGAATGATCACTATACAAAATTTGAATTTAAAATTTAACTTTTTCACATATATTATGGATCCAATGATAATAATGTATACACAGATATGTGTATAAAATTTATTCATATATTTATATATATAAGGAAATTAGAGTGAATTATTACAAAAGATGTCGTTTTCAGAGAGAAATTAAAAGAGATAAACATATTAAATAATAAAAAACACTTACTGAGGATGGGGTAAAAGGATAGAGTTCAAACTTCCTCTAATTGTTTAGATTATTTAGGAGATATTTGAATTTGTAAATTATAAACTGTTATATTATTTAAAATATTTTTTGATGATTGGTGAATTATAAATTCAAAGATCTCTTAAATAATCCAAACAACTAGCGCAATTTAAATGAATTTCAAAATTTTCGTCAAATCTCTCAATCCAAGTGAAGGTTAGAGTTTTTGAAAAATTTTGGAGGCAGTTGCCCGAGTGCAACCCCTTTGTGCCCGTCGTTGTCTCCTTTGATGGTATACCTTGCCGTAGTAATTGGGAAGGCCCCTAATGGTCCAATCCCACGGCCCCTTTGTGTCCGTCATTGTCTCCACTGATTGTGGACCTCACCGTAGTAATTGGGTAGGCTCCTAATCCCTGAAGGGGGTGGTTCATTGTCATTACAACACAGCCAAATTTGTAGTTGTAGACAAATTCAATGCCAGAAGACAATATTTACTTCCACACGCTGCTCCTCCATTCGCATGCGGCATGCTGAAAGAAATACAGCAGCATGCAGTGTCTTTATGCTTCGAGTTTCTTGCATCTATTCTACCAGTTCAACGCGGAACTAAGAATGCCCTTAGTTATTCCAGGTGTTTTGTTTAATGATAATCACTAAGAAGGCAATAAATTCTTTCACGTTAGATTTGATTTACTACAAATAAAACACGAGGAAAAGAAGCGGTAACTTCATCTGTTCGTTTTTACCTTAATCCCTGCTTTCAATGACCGAGGCCCTGGATTTCTTTTTTTCTTTTGATGTTCAAATTCAAGAAAAATCTCCCACCGACAAATAAATAATCACCTCATTTATTACTCTAAAGCTAACAAGAATGTGAGCAGACTGATTTTCCTATCTCACAATTAATAGCAATAATATATTGTCTGGTTTTCTTTGTCAGACAAAGGACCGTCCTTGAGAAGAGCAGTTTTGTGTGATGGGAAATTTACATCTCATCCCATAAACTTTGTCTACTAGCAATTTTCAGTTCCACGGTTATGTCTCTTAAGCTAAACTGCTTATCAACTAAAGATAAGATAGCAAAATTTGCTTACATATATTGCATTGCATTTCAATGCTGTGATGGTAACAAAGTTAGAAAAATGAAACATGCTTTTTAGTTATGGTGACAGTCAAAATAATAAAACATCTCCCATCTCAATCTGTCCTTTGCAACCCATCTTCAATTTTCATTTCAATCTAAAATTATTGATTAGCAATGATGCCAAGATTATCAAAAAATTAAGAAAGAGGAGGGTGCACTTGAGACAGAGGAGCCTTATAAAACAAAAGCATAGTAGATTGCCTCCCTCAGGCTCAGGAAAACTTGACCACATATTGGTCATTAGACATTTGATATGCCTAATTACAAAAAAAGATGAATTATAACATATAAATAGGGACACATAATAGTGGTAGTATAGTGTTCAAGAAACAATATGGGCATTCCACATGTACTAGCTATACCTTATCCAGCACAAGGTCATGTACTTCCCCTAATGGAACTTGCCTTGCGCCTAGCCAAGAATGGCATCAAGGTTACATTTGTGAACACGGGATTTGATCACAAGCGAGTCATTGAATCGTTATCAGGTGAAGAAAATGTACCTGATATGATGCATCTGGTATCCGTCCCAGATGGCCTGGAATCGTGGGAAGACAGAAATGACCTGGGGAAGTTAACAAAGACAATTTTTCGTGTTATGCCTGCAAAGTTGGAGGCTCTAATGGAGAAGATGAATGAATCTGAAACTGACAAAATCACATGCCTTATTACTGATGAGAGCATGGGTTGGTCACTGGAGATCGCGAAGAAAATGGGAGTCAGGGCTGTAGCCTTCTGGCCTCCTGCAGCAGCAGCTGTATTGGCTCTGGAACTCAATATTCCAAAGCTCATTCACGACGGAATCATAGACAGCTCTGGTAAGACTCCTTTCAGCATAATGCTTTTACAGTTTCATCATTTTCGTATAGGCACTTACTTTTTTGTAGTCATAAAACAGTAAAACAATATAAAGTTGATTTAGAATTGGAACCTATGAAGTTAAAAATCATAATGCAAGCAAAGTAACAAACTCATAGGAAACAGGGAGGTGCAATTTTGGGTGTTTCAAAATAAGTTGAAAGTTGAAAAGCATATCAAGTGAATTAGTTTTCATCAATGCAAGGAAATTTTTGCAGCAAAGTAAAAAAATGCTTTGCCAGAACAATGATTATCAAATTTGGCATTTATTAAGGCAAATTTTGTGGCAGGAACTATCACGAAGAAGCAGATGGTCCAGTTATCATCCACCATGTTAGCCGTGGACTCTGAACACTTTGCTTGGGCCAGTGTCGGTGATGCGACCACACAGGGTATTGTTTTTGATGCTATATTAAAAAATAACAGAACATTAAAAATGGCTGATTGGATTATCGGCAACTCGAGTAATGAGTTAGAGGCATCAGTTTTTACCTTATTTCCAGAAATGTTGCCAATTGGCCCTCTTCTAGCTAGCAACCAGCTTGGAAGATCAGTTGGTTCCTACTGGCCTGAAGACTCGGATTGCTTGGCGTGGCTTGATAAACAACCAGTCCAATCAGTAATTTATGTTGCATTTGGGAGCTTCACAGTTTTTGACCAGACACAGTTTCAAGAACTGGCTCTAGGCCTTGAACGCACCAATATGCCATTCCTGTGGGTTGTGAGGCGGAATTTAACAGCAGAAACAGATAATGCATATCCAAAAGGTTTCAAAGAGCGAATACAAGGACGAGGAAGATTATCCAGTTGGGCACCTCAACAACAGGTGCTGAGTCATCCTTCAGTTGCCTGCTTCCTCAGCCACTGTGGTTGGAATTCTACAATTGAAGGTGTAAGCAATGGTGTCCCTTTCCTCTGCTGGCCATACTTTGCAGACCAGTTCACTAATAGAAGCTACATATGTGATGATTGGAAGGTTGGATTAGGATTGGAAAAAGATGGAAATGGAATCATTGCACAAGGAGAAGTTAAGAACAAAATTGAGCAGCTAGTCACTGTTAAAGGCTACAAGGAGAGGGCCTTGGATTTAAAAGCAAAAGTTATGAGTAGTCTTAGAGAAGACGGATGTTCTGGCAAGAATTTCAACAACTTTGTCAAGTGGATTAAGGATGATTAGAACAACTAAGTGTGCTCTGAGCACGCTTGACTGCCACTTATCAATACATTGAGTATAAAAAACTGAATTTCCATTTTTACTGTTATTTAGTCGAATTTGGTCCAAAAATATGATTTACTCACAACCTCAATTTGGTATAAAATTGACATTTGTTAGGAATTAGAATTTTTTTATAAAAAAAAAAAGAGAGAGAGAAACAATAGCAGTTTAAATGCAATGAAAATTTGGCCTATATGTGTGTGTGTGTGTGTAAAAGCAACAAGAAATTGTGAGGCCATGCAAATTGGAAACCCTAAATATTGCAAATCAATAAGAATTGGCCGTCATGTTGTCCTAGAAATAACAACAGCATGATTCGTACGGCCGTCAAGTTGTCCTAGAAATTATAGGATAGTTTAGTTCCAATGGTGCTATTAAGTGACTGTTTGCTCCGCAACAGAAATTTTGCTCCCAATTGTCTTCAGACTTAAATGCAATTTCTTGAAATATGTTTGAAAGTCATCACTAACTTTAATTCTCTTCGGCCACTTGGGTAATATCTATATATGAGCATAGTAGTAGCTGTATCACGCATGACATGGAAGAGCTGGTGAATTGCTTAAGATCAACTTTTACAGCTTAAACATGGGCTTTGGCAGCTGACGGATGAAGACAGGACGCAACAAAACCATTGTCTGCCTCAGTTCCTGTGAATAAGTACTCAATGCCCACTTTGACAAAATAATAAAGAAAAAAGGAAAAGAAAAACGTTGTCTAACAATTTTAATACCTCTAACAGAATATCTGTAAATAGTAAAAGATATTCAACATAGTAAAATTTTGTATAAAGGCCAAATTTTATACAAAGACACGCAACTTTTGCTTAATTTCTGTGAAGGTTGGGCACATAATTTTGTGGTGAATCTAAAGACATTTATAGTTCTGATCACGTCAAAAGTGTGCACAATTGGCATACTAGAAATTTAGTGAAGTGTCACTTTTATTAGCTAGTATAATTCCGCTCTCCTTGCAGAAAAATACTAAATATGAATCCTATAGTCACCAAATGATCTAGAATCAGAATCCAGTTTAGAATTAGATAGTATGTAAACTTAAATATAACAACAATTGAATTGAACACAATCCAACATATCATGCGATAAACATGTTTCGAGTTAAATAGCAGTGAGTACTTCATCTTTACGTACTTGCATCTGCTAAGTACAAACAAAAATCACTCCAAACAGAAAACTTATTCAATCAGTCCATTTGGATTTCCCTGTTTTTCAAATACAAGTTTTTCAAATACAATACGATAGTAATATACAAACAAAAACAATTCAAAAAAATCTTATACAAAAGTTTTTTATATACACTGTTACAGTAAAGTTTTTCAAATATATATACAAAAACAGTTAATCCAAACAAAGTAAATTGAACATACAAATTCTATTAATTTAAAGAGGTATTAATTAATTAATAAAGTATAATTTATTAATTTATTGATTGTACTTGCAATTCAAAGAAACTCATTTAATCAACTAAAGTTTTATTTTATTTTATAAAAATATGAATTATTCTATTAATAAATTGAGGTTAAAAATCTAAGGAATATAAATCAATCCATATCTACTTGATTGCAAGTATAATTTAATTCTATTAATGTCTTCAATATACATACGTAAAAATAAAATATTGAAACATTAGATTTTAATTGACAGGAAGGAAACAAAAAGTAAAAGATAGTTTTCTTAAGAATTCCTAAAATAGTTTATCATTTAAATTTTTGTAAAATATAGTTTCAGGAATTCTTAATAAAATTATCTTTTATTTTTTGTTGTCTTTCCTACTATTTAAAATCTAACGCTAGAATATTGTAGTTCTAAAGCATTTATTTTAAAATCTATGTACCTTGATAATCATTTAATGTTTCATATAATGTGTATAAAATGCCAACTTCATTTCAAACTTAATTGATAACCTATTTAAATAACAAAAAAAAAAAAGAGATCAACATAGTGTGCAAAAGTACATATTTCTTATATTTTAAAGAGATATTTAATTAAGTTTTTAAATTATCATTAGAAAAAATAATAGAAATCATTATCAATTAATTATTAATAATGAGAAACAATAATAGATATCTATTATATCAAATTTGGGATTAACTATGTAAAAGAAAAGAAACATGTGACATATTTTTATCATAAATAAATAAAAGAAAAATTAAAAAAGAAAAAGAAATTTAATTAGAATTCTTATTATCCATTTAATATTTTTTTTCATTCTAATTTGAATCTTAATTCATGCTAAAATCTTTAATATCACTATTTAAAATGTAAGAAAATATAATGATTGAAAATCAAAACATTGGAGACCAAAAGTGCAAAGTCAAAGTTGTTGACTAACAACAATTTCATGTAGACCACTAGTCATTGTTCTATTTCTATATTTCGTCCTAAATTTCCTAAAATCACAAATTTTGGGGAATAGATTTGTTTTGACCGAAATATTGGAGACTAATTTGTCACATGAGCTAAACATTAGGGATCAAAACTTCAATTCTCTCCCATTTAATTTCAATTGTCATATTGATTTTCCCATTTCTTTTGAAAAAAAATGCTTCTAATTTATGATTAAAGATGAGGTAATCAAATAATTTTCTTCAAAATTAGAGTATGAACAAGTTGGCTTGCTCAAAAGAGATGAGGGTTATTCTTACGGTTTGGCATTACAAAATAGACAAAGTAAATGAAATTTTACCTTATGCCACAATAAATTTCGGTTTATTATGCATGGCTTTCGGCAATGGTAAATGTTTCATTTTGAATTTGCTTGTTTGATCTAGAGAGTTACTCATAAATTTATGGAAAAAGAAGGTTTTCCTTTTCTCCTTTGAGAGAGATACAAGACCGATTTATTTGCATTCTACATCTATGCCTTCTACTGGATTTAATAATAAAGTAGTATATGCTTTTACAATTTGAGAGTATAAGTGAGACATGGAAATTGTTTGAAGGTATAATGGTATTACCATTTGTGGCACAAAAAAATATTCAACGTAAGAAATTTTAACACATAAAGATATGTGGGAATATGAGGAGAATAAACACACAAACAAATAATCAATTATTTTATTAAGTCAAATTTCAACAACAACAATATCAAATCGTAACCTTTCGCTTATGACAACTTACAAATCTCAACTATGAGCCTTTTCCTCAAACTCGCTCTCAGGACTCAACTCAACTTTTTAAGAATTACCTGGCACCACTGTAGGTATATATAGAGACCGGAGACCAAACCGATACCAACTAGCACTTGGACTAGTATTCTTGACTGACACAACTGCACAAAAGGAAACTTAACTGGACCGAGGATATTTCCAATTCCATGATAGAATAGACAATTACAAGACAACTAATATTAATCAAACTTGCCTTAATGCAATAGAATTTAAGGAAAACAAATTGTAGTAGGACTAGAGACCAAAATAAGAAACTAAAATAGGAAATAAACAAATAGAATAGCTTAGTTTAATTTTCATCA